GAATATTTCAAGTTGTAATCTTGACTTTACTATTATGGGGAAAATGGGGGGGGGGATGATGCCTTCATGCAGACCAGACAGGCATCCATAGTAGCCTAGACAGAGATCATGTCTGAGTTCAATTCACTAGAATAGGAGCAAGAGGTTCTCAGAAAACCACAATTTGGTCAATCAATCATGAGGCATCCCACAGCCTTCTTTTACCTTAGCAGGCACCCCACAGCCTCTTTGCTGAGACAGCAGATTCCCCACCCACAGCCCCTGCTCCAAGCAGGCTTCTGCTAGCTAAAGAAGCTTTCCCTACCCTGCTGCTGGAAAGCTCCTAACCACTAGGATCTCCCAACAATCTGCCCCAGATTAACCCTATCTTCCTGGAACTCCCCTAACGGCTTTAAAAGAGCTTGAAACTTCTGGGTGGGGGGGTGTTCAACATTATCAACCACAACATGTTGGACTAAAAACATTCTTTTTTATTGCATACATGGCTGTTGGTCTTTTCTTGGGGGCTTGTGTTGGACACCAACAACTTTCTTCTTCAAGAATGGAACTGTTTCAATTTATAAACTATTGCTAGCTTAACAATACAAACTTTGTTTTCTTGTTGTTTATTCTTTCTGCTCTTCTGAAATCATTGAGTATTGGAAGGTATGACATAGATATCTGTATATGAGCATTGGATACCACAGGTATAAACATTTATTTTCTAGATTTATGCAATATACCAACATTTTCAAAAGTATGATTCATTCTAAGGCTGAGACAGCAATTGTCAAGGATATAAACACCAATGATTACAAGTTTAATTGACATATCACATCCATTCAACAACATTTAAAAAAACAATAAAAAAAGTATTTTCTCATAACTGTTTCAGTTGGATCATCAATCATGCCCCTATGTGATCCAGAAAGCCCCATTCCAGTCTCTCCAAACTCTGACCACACACAAGGAAATCAAGGAAAAGTACCAAAAGCCTAGTTTCACATTTTTCTAAGCAATTACAACTACCTCCTCTGTTGCCATCTGCCAAATAAATGTGGCAGGTCCCTATGGGTGTCCCTTGGAGTTGAGGAAAATTGGCCACAATACCAACAACACAGAGGTACACAATACCAACAACCAGAACAAGTTGAAACAACAATCTCAGTTTATTCAAGGAGGAATAAGCCTTATATACCCCTTAACCCTCTGCCTCAGGGGTAGAGATCCAGTAATCTGGCTTCTGCGGAGGTGATATGGTTGCTGTCCATCTGTCCACTTCATATTGTCAGATTCAGCTGCTCTTGACAAAGCCCTCTGGCAGACCCAGGCTGGCTGTCAGGAAATATCTACTGCTCATTCTGTTATTAATTCAGGTCAACCTGGTCTACAAAATGAATTTCAGGACAGCCAGGACTATATAGAGAAAATTCGTGTCAAAAAAAACCAAAATTAAAAAAAGAGGAAGAGGAAGAAGAAGAAGGAGGAGGAGGAGGAGGAAGGGGAGGTGGAGAAGAAAAAGGAGGAGGAGGAGGAGGAAAATCACTTTATTACTTGTCTGCCTTTTGGTTGATGTCCAAGGAAGAATATTAAGCAGAACAACTTGCTAGCTTATATGCACCATACAACTGTGAATCTTGATATGTTTTCATCCTTGTGGTAGTTTGATAAGAAATGGTTCTATTAGAGCCATTTGTCAAGGAAGTGTGTAACTGTGGGGAAGAGCTTTTAGGTCTTTTGCATAAACTTTGCTCAGTGTCACAGTTCACTCCCTGTTGCCTGCAAGATGTAGGACTTTCAGCTATTTCTCCAGCATTCAGTCTGTATATTGGCATGGTTCCCACCATGATAATAATTGACTGAACCTCTCTAACTGTAAGCAAGCCACCTCAATTCATGTTTTCATTATTAGAGTTGCTGTGGTCATGGTGTCTCTTGACAGCAAAGACACTTACATAGAAACCTGACTTAAACATATTTAAGTCTCTTTTAGGTCCCTGACCCAGGTTATACTTTGAATAATTTAAACATAGACAAGCAATTCTGACCACTTGGACAGAGGGTACATTATTCAGAAAATACATTGCCAAAAATATTTCTGAAGTACACCAGTTCACTATGCCAACTTGGCAGAATAATGTTTTGTTTTTTATGTTAGGAGATCAGGAGACTTAATGGCAGACCAGGATTTCATGATGGTTATGCTGCCTCTTGAGCTACCTGTTGTAGATATATCTTTGATGATGACTGGTCAGTCTTCATGAATAAACATTTACATCCTACCACCCTAAATTTTATCTCTAACAGCCTTGTTAGCATACTACTGCTTTATGGGATATTTGGAGATAGCTCTTTTTTTTCACCCCTATTCAAATGAGGAAAGATACAGCACTCTTTTTTTTAAACTAGATTCTACTCTTATGACAATGTCACTTAAATAAATCTGTTAGTAAATATTTGTTTTCATAACTAACTTACTATATCCTATGTTTTGCCTGAATGTATGTCTGTGTAAGGACATTGGAACCCATGGAACAGGAGTTCCCAACAGTGTGGGCTGCTCAGTAGTTGCCTGGAATTCAAACTATATTATCTGGAAGAACAGCCAGTGCTCTTAACTGCTGAGCTATCCATCCAGCCTCAGAAATATTTTATAACATCAACTTTACTATTTTATGTTTCTTGTATATCAATAGTGTAGTTAACATTAACAATGTTGAATGTCCGAATCTAAACAACAGTTTTACGTATAAACTCAACTCAAATTTATGAGTTTGTAAGACTTTTCCATGTATTTCTAAATACAATCACTGTAAAGCACCAGAAAGTCGTAATATTTTCACTACTTTTAATATATCCCTAATTGCAACAACATATATTCAAATTATGAATGAATTGTAATTTTTCCACTCATAATGGAATGAATGAGACAGGTACTTACAATGAAGTAGTCTATTAATGTACAGGTTATTATGAATTATCCTTCTATTACTATTTGGACTCACCATTCATCTTTAGTGCAGGAGTGGTATATTAATGAGTTTAATGTAACATAAACTTAATTTCAGGATGAAAACAATGTTGGATAATATTTATCATTAATGTTGTTCTACCAAAGTAAATGATTTTTAAGTGTTGTCTAGATTTGTAGTATATTTTAAGAAAGTGCCAGCATAGCATTCACCAGGGCCTGTATTCATGCTCCAGAACCAAATAAACTCAGCATTTCACATGTATCTGAACTCCATGTTATAGGAATCTAGCAGAATAACTGTATCTAGAGGAAACAGTTGAATGAATAGTTGTTTTGTAGTATTTTGAACTTGAAGAGTTATTTTTCTGAGGGAGTGTTACAATCTTGCATGAGTTTGGTCACAAAGGACTTCTGGCAAACCTAAGGTGCTTGGATTATTGAGTACTGCAAAGGGTATATAATAAGGACTAAAGTAGCAGGGGCCTGTGATGCTTTCCTTTAGAGAAACAGGAATTAGAATATGGACCTTGGTATGAGGAAATACTTGACTGAAAACAATTTTGTGTAACAATAAAAACACACCACATGGGGTACCAGGCTGTAGTGGTGCACACCTGTAATCCCATGGTTTGGGAGGCAGAGGCAAGAAGATCTGTATGAATGTGAGCCCAGATCGGCCTACAGAGTGCGTGAGTTCCAGTTTTCAGTACATCCAGGATAGTTACCCTGTCTCAAAAAAAAAAAAAAAAAAAAAAAAAAAAAAAAAAAAAAAAAACAGCAAACCAAAGAAAAAACATGTATTGCTTGCACTGGTGCTGTTCAAGGTTCAGTTCATCAGAGGCTGGACCTTATTGCTGTCATATAGGCCTCAAAATTTAATTTTAGAGTGACCTCTTTCTTTGACCAACTCATGCAACACAGGGCAAACCAACAAATCCATCCTCAGGAGGTGAAGATAGATGAAGCAGGGCTTCAAAGTCATCATCAACAACATCCTGGCTACAAGAGTCCTATCCTAAGAAAAAGTTGAAAGAGAAGAAGGTTATCCAAGCAATATAAAGTGGTTAAGCAATTCAGGGAATTTTTGAGTGAAATTTATCTCAATCATATTTGACAAATGGTAAAACAAGTTTTAAAAGTGATAATGTAGCCACAGTATATAACTATATTTTCTATTTTGTAGTCACAGAAGCTGCCTAATACTTTAAAACTAGTCAAATAATTTTGCTGCTGGTCCTTTAATCACAAGAATCTTTAGTGAATAAGTGAAGAGCACTGTTTACAATTCCCACGTGTTGTGAGGATAGGAGCTAGGAAAAAAAAAGCATAAATGAGTGTTGAGAGGAGAAAGGTGAGTTGTATATTACTAAGATCATTTCTGTATGATTTTCATTGTTTTATCATCAAAAATATCACTTTAGCTTCCACTTATGGATAGCACTGGGAAATTTAGCTTGGGACAACCGTTTGGACCAGGCTGGTTCTAGCTCATTGCGTGCACTTTGTGTTTCAGAACATTCAAAGGGAATTGCTATGTCTGAGAAATACGCTTAGCAAGTTTCTACTTCCAGTACCTTTTTGATAGCTCTTATGTTGGTGAAGCTTCCCAAAGTTAGGCAAAGGCTATGACAGCGTGGGGCAATTTTAGTAAATTTTGTATTCTCGCATGTGATAAGAAAGAAGGGAGGTATTAGAAGAAAAGTAGAACGGTACGGAAAAGATACATACATGAACTAGGTATACTTAAATTAAGGTGTTTCAACTCAGGAAAGGCTGAATGAATATAGTAAGTTTTTTGTAGTTCAGGTGTACTGAACCATTGGATAGTGGCGGTGTCGGGGTTAGATCCCGCGAGGTTATGACTTAAATGAGATTTAAGAAAGTAGAAATAACACGTGGCGGTAAGAGACTGCTTCCTGATTGTACGGGCTGACGAAACAGTCGTTTGTCATGCGTACTGACGTAACGCCGTCGATAGTTTCGTTGTTCCCTAAGCTGCGTAGTTAAGCATTTGGTTTCAACGGGAGAAGTAATTAAGTTACTTACTGCCTGAGTAGTAGTATTCTCAGTTCTTTTCAGCAATGAGTCATGTGGTGGTGGAAAACACGGTCGGCCTGGATCAGCAAGTGAGTTGAATCGATATAAAGACGTCCCATTTACCCTGGCTGGTATAAATTCATTTGTGGCGTAGTATTTAATGTTTCCAACTCTTTGTGTTCTCTGTATTTGGCTTTTGTCTTCTGATTAAAAAACCTGGAAGGTACGAAATTAAACTGAGAATGGCGTGAGGGAGAAAAGGGCCATGGTAATGAACGTTACAAGTTAGTCCTAACATCGTGCATAATGGCGGCTCTTTTTATCTGCGAACGGGTGTTTGGCAGTGAGTTTAGGGGACCCTATATTTCAGTACATTAATTTCCTTGAAGATTTGTATTCATATTCCGTGGATCTGATACTTGCTTTTGTGAATTAATGTATGAAAGTTGATGTAAGTATTGATGCCGCGTTCTTTGCTTAGAGAATTGCGGCCGTTAATGGTGGAAATGGCGGCGAGTCTTTATACCGTCCGTAGGCTACGCCGCCGCGATGCTGTAATGTTCGGTCTAACTACTGGAGAGGGTTCCTATTTTGACGTATCTGATAGTGTTATTATTCCGCGACAGTCGCGTTGACCTCTTTCTCGCGGATCGATGTGTAGGCAGAATGTGTTTGCGGAGTTTTGTGACGCAGGAAGCCCCAAAAGGAGATTTAAAAAAAAAAAAAAAAAAAAAAAAAAAAATGGCTGCGGTGTACTTCTCTTGACAAATAATGAAGGTTGGATTTTTGTAGAGGGATGTTACAATTTAGGCTTGTGGCTTCTTTTCAGTCACTGAGTATAGATAGCCAGCTAATGGAGACCAATAGGTCATTTTTTTTTTGTTTATTTGTTTGTTTTTCTCTTGAAACCGGTAAATCCCAAAGTCAGATAACAAACTACTGAAATATTCCGATGTCGTTGTTAGGAAGAGAACAAAATGTGTTAGATAAAGCCAACCTGTGATCGTCATTTATTTTGATATGTCCAAAACCAGACACAAAATTGTGTTGAGTGTCAAGAAGTCTCCTTGGATTTCAACTACAGGATTTGTATCTCATACATAGAGCATCTATTACGTTACTTAAGCAATTTAAGCTACTAAAACCGAACACTCTTCCACCTCAAAAAAAAAAAAAAAAAAAAGGTTCTTAACCTTTCTCTACTGGAGATTATATACCCTAGTATATTATGATTGAACGACTGCTTTTCTATTAAGCTTTAGCCCCAGTACCCAGTACAGTTGTTACCTTTAACTTGGAACCAGTCCCACAATAACTCCATAGTGTTCAACCAAAGCCTGTGAATAATAGGAATTGAAACAGATGACATTAATTTACTCATTTTCAACGGAGGCAACACGGGAAGCTTATCTTTTCCAAAATTGTCTTTGGTAATGAGTACAAGATGTACTACAAAGAAAATAACCTTTTTCTACAGAAGGTTACTGATAAAAAGGTAACATATATATTCCTTATTAGCTTAGAAAACAAAGACCTATAACTTAATGTATGCCTTCATGTTACACCTGAACAGCATTAAGTATTAAATAAAAAAATAGTTCCAACAGTATTATCTGGTGTGTGCTAAAATTTCTTATTTTTAGCAATTTATCCCAAATAGAAATAGCTCCTCTGAGACATAAAGGAATTAAGGGATCTTAATGCTTGCATTTGAAATTTGTTTTCCTTAGGCATAAAGCCTAAGCATTTAGGTATGTCTGATGTTTTAATGATTAATTTTTTTATTATTATTTGTATGAGTGCTTGATCCCTTTATATGTATGAGTGCTTGTATATGCATCAGCTGTGTGCATGTTGATCCTTTAATCCATGAAGAGATTGTTACATATCCTGGAAGTGAAATTAAAGAGATGTTGAGCCAGATATGATGAATGGAATCTGAGTTGTCTGCAAGAGCAGCAAGTGTCCTTAACTGCTTAATTATGTCTTTAGTCCCTCTCTGTCACTAAATTTTGAGTTACTGAGAAAAGAAGATGCTATTTTATTATTCAAGGTCAGTGTATATATTGCATTCCACACAATGGGCAGGTATGAAGCTCAGGAGAAAACTTTGTGAAGTCCATTTTTGTTTTTCTTTATGTGTAACTAAAGGTCAAATATTTTTAGGCTAGTCGTTATCTATTGAATCATCTGTCCAGCTGAAGATAGATTTTTTTTTTTTTTTTTTTAGTTTAAGAGCCTATCCCATGCTCTGTGAACTCTTTGTAGAGTTACTGTTTATGTCAGATTCTGACACTTGTATATCAGGTTCAAAATACTCGTCACCTTTGGGGTATATAGGTACTTTGTTGTGTACATCCCCATCACCTAACAAGGTTTTTCTAGTTTAAAATTATTTTATTTGTGTGGCTGCTTGCTGGTGTGTATGTGCTGCCAGTGTCCTGGGGAACTATAATAGGTGTTTGAATCACCCAAGAACTGAGTTGCAATCAACTGTAAGCAGCCAGCCATATGAGTTTTGGAAATGGAACCAGACAACCTCTGGAGGAATAGTTGAACCATCTGTCCAGTCTAAAAAACAAACAAACAAACAAACAAAAACATAAATCCAGTTGGTGGTGGAGCACACCTTTAATCCCAGCAGATTCAGTCTGGGAAGTCAGATCTCTGATTTATGGGCAGCCTGGTCTATAGAGAGAGTTCCAGTACAGCTAAGGCTACAAATACAAATACATAGAGAAACCTTGTCTTGAAACAATCAATCTGGGTCTGGGTCTTTAAGTACAGGAATCACTGAGGTCCAGCTCCCTAAAAGTACTTTTCTTTTTTTTTTTCTTTTTCTTTCTTTCTTTCTTTTTTGTTTGTTTGTTTTTGTTTTTGTTTTCTCTGTATTGTTTTGGAATCTGTCCTGGAACTGGCTTTGTAGAACAGGCTGGTCTCCAATTCACAGAGATCTGCCTGCCTCTGCCTCCTGAGTACTGCAACTAAAGGTGTGCTCTACCACTGCCCAGCTCCTAAAAAAGTCTTTAAGTCTTTCAAAGTATTTAGTAAATGTTAAAGTGTAAGTCTTGGAGTTTTAAATGTTTGTTTACTTGTGAAATCTGCTTTTTGTTAATTTGTGAACCATATTTATTTTCCAGTTTGCTGGTCTTGACCTGAACTCTTCAAATAATCAGAGTGGAGGAGGAAGTACTGAGAGTAGTAAGTAAAAAATTTTTCTGTGTTCCTACTATTATTTACCTTAATTTTTGAATTTTCTGTTTCAACACATATGGGAGATATAAAATTAACATGCATATCCATATAATATGGGGGATAAATTACTCCTGAGTAGTTGTACAGAATTGCTATATTACAAAGAAAATCAGCCCTGAACAGCTTGTATAGTTTCCTGACCAAAGTTATATTTTGTGCAATTAAACATATTTCACAGAAACAGAAATTTCATAATGATTGTTTGGACAAAAAGGAAGATTTGTGATATAAAATTTGGTTATTGTTACTTTGACACAGGCCACGTCTGCTTTTTCTGCACTTCCAGTTACAGGGTATATGACGCCCTTTTATAAACTTTTTTTCCAGGAAAATACATAGTATACATACATACATGTAGGCAAAACAGACATAAAATAAATTAAAGGATTGCATATCCTAGTAGTTTTGTAATATGCAGCATACATTTACGCATAAAGTTTGTTCACTCTAATAGTAATCTGAAATATTTTTTAGAAAAGGAAGTTAAAAGGGAAGAAGAGGTTATATAAAACATTGAGATTTTGAGTTAATTTATAAAGCTTCAAATTGAAACACTATTCAAATCAACTCCATTTTTTGTATATTTTTTAATATGTGACATTAATTTTAGTTGTGGGGGGGGAAGCATGATTTCTGGTCTGTGACAGCTTGGTAAAAATTACTTCCTGGAAAAATATCACAGTGTTTCAATTTTACATATTCTCTTCTAGAAGGGCGCTATATACCTCCTCATTTAAGGAATAGAGACACATCTAAAGGTATGTTGCAGCAGATTTGTATATCTAACTTTTGCTTTTTAGAAGTTCTATTTTAGCTGGGTGGTGATTCTACACACCTTTAATCCCAACACTTCCTCTTTGTATCTTCTATATACTATATACTTTATACCTTGAGAAAGCTTGAGTGGTGGGCATTTCCTTGCTTAGTCTGGCAATATGGATAAAGACATTAGAGTTAGAATCTAATTAGGTCTTAGATTATATAGTTTACCTTTTAAATATATTAATAACTGACAACATATCTTCCAATTGAAAAAAGTATTTAGAATTCTGCCTGTTGTAAGAATTCCATATGTGTATATAACTTCTATATAGAAAAATTTTGAGGAACTGGAGAGATGGGTCATTGGATAAGAACCTGGATCCAAGGCCCAGGACTAAAATGGTGGCTCACAACTGTCTCCACTTGTACTTCCAAAGGATCTGATACCCTTTTATGAACTCTTTTCTAGGTACACACCTGGAACACACACACACATAGGCAAAATGTTCATAGATGTAAAATAAGTGAATTAATTCATCCCATATCCTAGTAGTTTTATAATATTGCAGCATAGATTTAAATATTTTTATGGTGATACTCTGAAAACTTTATTCACTCAAATAGTAATCAGAAATACTTTTAATAAAAGGAAGCCAGAAGGCAAGAAGATAACAGAAAGGGCTGAGGAATAAAATACTGAGACATGCATACATATGGTAGTGTTTATGTCTTTTTTTTTTCTTTCTCCTAATGACTTTCACTGTGAAATATACTGAGTGTTATTTATGTAAACTTGAAATTGTATCTCAGAAGTGCCTTAGAAGAAGTGACAGTATTTGAGGAGTTTTTTAAAGGAAATCTTTAGCCTCCTGTTTTTGTAGTTAGGGTGTGTGCATGTATATATATATATATATATATATATATATATATATATATATATATATTGTCATGTGTTTAAAGACTTTTTCTTATGTGGGCATGCAAATTTAATAAGCTATGAGTTTAGAATTCTTGCAGGAAGGTAAATAACATAGTTTCCAAACATCAAACAATAATGTAGACATTAAGTATTACATACTTAAAACAACTTGAACAGTATTTGTCAACTAATTATGTATATTTGTGAGAGATAACAGCACAGAATGTCACTATATTGTTAACTATAAGAATGTCACTGTATTGTTAACAATACTGGAACCAAATTTGCAATGATCCTCCTGCCTCTACGTCCCAGATCTTGAGAAGTTATAAATTTTTTACTTCATGTGTTTTTATATCTAAGAATTGAACCTAGAGTTTTATGAATGCTAGACCGAAATCTTACATAGGTAGCCAAACTAACCCACAGTTATTTGTGTTATTATACATACTAACAAAGTAAATTCAACCTATAGTGATACTAGTATGATGATAGCATTATTTAAAAGTTATTCATTTCTCTTAGCTCCTGTTTTTCTTCTGTGTAATGCTATTGCTCTTTGAAGCAAAGCTCTTTGAAGAGCCTTGATCATTCTAGGCAAAACCTGAACTTAAAACCTCAAGAAAATCTGTGACAGACAGTACTTATCAAGATTGAACCCAGGGTTTTGTTCACACTTACTGCAAAAGCACTCTACTACTGAGATACATCTATACCTCCTTTTTTGCTTTTAGACAGGGTCTTACTATGTATCTTTAGAGTGGCTTTAATATTGGTTTCTCAAGTGGTAGGTAAGTGATAAAACATATGGTTCCACACTTGGCCAGAACATTATCAAAGTACAAATCACTTTTTACTTACTATGATTTGTAATTGCTTCAGTATTAAAAAGTGTTGAAATTCTGTTTGTGGATGTGCACTAACTGTATCATTGTGCTAGAATCAGTTATGTTAGATGTCTATGGCCATGAAGAGTACATTATTTTGGAAGAGACTCATTTGTTTACTGGTTTTGTTTTTGGTTCATTTACCTTGAAGGAGTCTGTGATAAGGACAGTTCAGGGTGGAGTTCTAAAGATAAAGATGCCTATAGCAGTTTTGTATCCCGTGATTCCAGAGGAAAGCCCAGTTATTTCAGTGATCGTGGATCCAGGGGAAGGTAAATTCTTCACTGATTTATATAATATGATGGTTAAGAGAATTATTTTTTCTGTTTTTTTGTTTGTATTTTTTGACACAGGATTTCTCACAGTCCTGTCCTGGAACTTGTTCTGTAGACCAGGCTGGCTTCAAACTCAGATCTGCTTACCTCTGTCTGCTGAGTGCTGGAATTAAAGGAGTGAACTACCACTACCCAGTAATGCTTAAGAACTGTAGTGGTTATGAATGTAAAATAATCTTATTTTGGGCTAGGTGGTTGTGTGTACACACATTTAATCCCAGCATTTGGGAGACAGAGGGAAGCCAATCTCTGTGGGCTTGAGGCCAGCATGCTCTACAAAGCTGCACAGAGAAATACTGTCTCAAAAAAAAAAAAAAAAAGAATCTTGTCAGGGTCAGGATTCTCTGTGGCCTGTTGGAACTGAACTGAGAATGAATCAATCTCTGTGTCTACCTTACATCTGACTATCTGAGAATTTATTAGAGTAGCTTGTGGATTTGGTCTGGCTAGTCCTACAATGATTATCTCCCAACAGAAAGTTTCCAAAAATTTCACTTCATGACACTGTCAGAATCTTGCAGAAGTACGCTCTTAATACAGTAAATACAATGAGGCAAGGGAAATAAGGCAAAGACCAAAAACTTACTTCCTGATGCCGTAACAAGATGTGGCCCAGGAAAAAAGGTGGTATTCATACCTCAAATGAGTCATTTATCTTAAAATCCATCACAGATGTGCCCAGCAGGTTGACCTTTTAGCATCGTGGAGCATATCTTTAATTCCAACATTTGGGAGGCAGAGGTAGATGGGTGTATAAATCAGGGCCATTGTGCAGTATGTATAGATGAGGATTAAATTGTTGATATACTTGTTGGGGAATTGTATTCAGTTCACCTAATACTCTAGAAGAATAATGCTTTTATATTAGTAACATAATCTGAGTATTCTCCTGTTCAGGTTTGATGATCATGGTCGAAGTGACTATGATACTCTTGGCAATCGTGACCGAACTGGATTTGGCAAATTTGAAAGAAGTCATGGTCATTGGGGTGACAGAACAGATGAAGATGATTGGTCAAAACCACTTCCACCAAGTGAACGCTTAGAGCAGTAAGTTTTTAAAATGTTAAATATTTCATTTGGACATGGAGTGCACAAACAGGACTTTCTGTGATATCACTCTCAAAATAAAAAACAATTAAAATATTTAATGGGGGGTGGAAAGATGGCCCAGAGGTTAAAGCATCCACCTCACAACTGTCTATATCTTCAACTCCGGCGTATCCAATGCCTCAAGGTTCAGGCCTTTGAGTCATGTGTATATGCCTACACAGAAACACACATCCATACCCAGAATGAAAGATAAAAATCTTAGAAACAATTAGATTAGTTAATTATGCTCTGTATTGACACCTACAGTTTTAATTCTAACACTATTGTTTCAATAAATGTTTTAATTTTTGTGAAGTGTATTTCCTCCAATTAATATTTAATGATTCTCTGATTTCAGAGAACTTTTTTCTGGAGGAAACACTGGGATTAACTTCGAAAAATATGATGATATTCCAGTAGAAGCAACTGGGAATAACTGTCCTCCTCACATTGAAAATGTAAGTTTTCTTGTTTCACTATTAATTTTATATTTGCTTGTAGTATGGAATTATCACAACACATGCATATAGAGACCAGAGGACACCTGTGGGAGTAGCTTCCCAAACTTGGATGGCAGCAAGTACTTTTACCTGTAATCCTTATTTGAGTTTTGTTTATTTAGGAGATAGTTTAGTTTCTTGCCTTTCTTCCCTCTGAACCCTCAGTTTGAACTGCTTCAAATTCTAAGCCTCTTTTTTTCATTGTTATTGAATATATATGTTATTGCATGTGTGTGTGTGCGTGTGTGTATTACATGTTGAGTCCATATAGTTACTTATGTATTAAGTTTTCCCAGCTGACTGTTTCCCACCTTTCCTACTCCCATGTTTGTCAGCTGCTTATTTTTGAGGAATTTCCTGTGTGGTTCTGCAGCTGCCCTGGAGCCCCCAAATAAACAAAAGATTTATATTAACTGTAATTCTGTTGGCTGTTGTCTAGGGCTTCTTATTGGCTACCTCTGTCTTAATTTCTATTTATCTGTGAATTTTCATGTGGTCTTATCTTATTGGAGAAGGTAGGCCCTCTGCCTGTCTCTCCCAGAATCTTCCTTGTCTCCTTTTCCTACCTATCCTGCCTCACTGGCAAAATAGTGTTTTACTCATTAACCAGTAAGAGAAACATGTGTACAGAAGACATTCCCCCTCACCCTATAGTTCTTGTATAGAGTTTTGGGCTTTTTTGAATCCAACTTGGTATGGTATATTAGTGTCATTGTTGAGTTCCTATTTAGGCAGTCATGTTGTTGAGACTTGTATTCTAGCTTCTGACATTCCTAGGATTCATACTTTCATGTTAAACTTCAGGATCCTCTGGATCTTAGATGTTTATGCACCCTCTTTGGCAATGCTTCCTCAGCTGTGAGTACCTGAGTGTGTTGTAGATGTGTCCATTGGGACTGGGCTCCACAACACCACTTTTTGATTAGTTTTAGTTTTCTGTTTTAAAAAGAAGTTTCCTTGGTGACAGATAAACTATAATTATCTTGAGGATATAAGGATGTTTCTAGATTGACTGTTGTTAGGTATTCATGTAGTAATTTAAGTATTAAAGTAGTAGTTTTAGATTCTCCAATAAACATGATTTCTCTAGGACTGAGTAGTCAAATAAAATTTCAGTACAAGGCATGGCTTCCCTCTTGTTAAGTTTTAAATGTAATTACAGAATCAAGTGCAGGGTTATTCTGCCACCATAGTAATTGATGTGTTTCAGCTGGGTAGGAATATTGTTTACTGCCTTCTTTAGTAAGCTGCTGGCACCCTTTCATACTATGAAAACTATTCCTCAGGAATAAGGCATTTATTTAGGTCACATCTAACTCAGGGTTCTCTATGCCTTGTGTAGGAAGTACATGGTGCCTTCAGCAATAGGGACCTTATCTTCTGCCTCTGGCAGTAACCAAGGGCAACAGCAACAGGCTGTGGTTTTGGGGAGTCTCTTGGACAGCTCTGGCCAACAACTCTTAAGAGACTTCTCATGTCTGGTTATTGTGGTTTTGCGTCTTGTTTTTTGTTGTTTTGTTTGTTTGTTTGTTTGTTTTGTAGAACAGAAAAAGAAAAAAATCATGGCAAGTTTTTGTTAGGTGATCTTTGTCTCTTGGAGGGAGACAGCCCAAATGAGAAGAGTTAATTAAAACAATTATGTAAATTTATACACTGAATTAGGTGATTTTATAGTATTATTTCTTGTAAATTGTTAATAAGTTATCTTGTGGCTTTTTTAGACATTCATATTGTTATTCATATTGTTATATTTCCTTCTCTTCTGTATTTAATCCCTGCTTCCTTTCCTAAGGAGCCCAATTTTTCCCCACTTTTACATTCAGATTATTTGTATTCTGCTATATCATTTTTTTGTTTGTTTGGTTGGTTATTTTTTGTTTTTGTTTTATTTTAAAGTCAGGGTCTCACTTGGCTGTCCTGGAACACACCAAAACCATCTTGCCTCTGATGCCCAAATGTTGGGATTTGAGGCATATACCAAATGCCTGGCAGCTTTTTTGTAAATATAAGTGTTTTACCCATGTATGTTATCTATACCATGTGTGTGCCTGGTGCTTTTTTGTATATATGTTTTACCCGTGTATGTTATCTATACCATGTGTGTGCCTGGTGCTAGTGGCAAGCAGAAGAGGGCATTTGATCACAGCCAGCCAGTTCTTAATTGCTGAACCATTTCTCCAGGACATTTGTCTGACTCTTAGCTAACTATTTCCTGGAGGTGGAAGCATGACCCTTTAATCCCAGCACTTGTGAGGCAAGAGGAAGGCAGAACTCTGAGTTTCAGGCCAGCCTGGCAGAATGAGTTACATGACAACCTCCTAAACCTACAGAGAAACCCTGTCTCAAAAAACAAAGCAAAACAGGCAAACCAAACAAAAATACCCTCTTATTCAGTAATGCTTCACATTTCATTGTGAATAATAGTCACATAGGAAATATATCACACATCAAGAGACATATTTTCTTTTACTGAGGAAGTCTGTTTTCTTAGATGCATACCATGAATTAAGAATCAAAACAACTCTAAACTGGACATTTATAGTATTTGTTTTATTTGTGTGGCAAATAACTGATTTGTGATTTTATGCTGTATTTGGTTTGACAGTTCAGTGATGTTGAGATGGGAGAAATTATCATGGGGAACATTGAACTAACTCGTTACACTCGTCCTACTCCAGTGCAAAAACATGCTATTCCTATTATTAAAGAAAAAAGAGACTTAATGGCTTGTGCTCAAACAGGTAAGATTATTTTGTAAAGAACAAAAGACTTCATTTTGGGATTCTTATAAAAGTGTTAAGTCTTATATGAAAGTTTGAGAAATAAAAATACCTGGGAACTATAAATTTTTGTGTCTTAGCCACTTTTCTTGCTGTGAAGAGACACCAGGACCACAGAAACTCATATAAGAAAGCATTTAATTGTGAGCTTGCTTACAGTGTGAAGTTTTTAGTTTATTACATAGCAGTAACCATATGGCAGGTATGAAAGCATAATGCATGAAAAGTAATTAAGACCTTCTACATCTTCTTATACAAGCAGAGAGAAATGACCTGGCTTTTGAAACCTTAAAGCCCTTCTCCAGTGACGCACATCTTTCAACACATCACATCCTAATCCTTCTAATTCTTTGAATTAGAATCCATGGTGATTTAAGGATTCACTGTGTAAGCCTATGGTTGCCATTCTTACTCCAACTACCTCAAATTTTTATTGGTGAATTTTTAGAGTATCTTTAGGAATCTGTATCTAGGTGTCAACTTGTTAATGCTGTATCAGAAAAGAGCAAAATCTTATAGTAGAAGTAAAATTAGCAATTTAAAGGGAAATATGTGTGAATTACTCAGTTTAAAAAGGCATCTCATTCTTCTTGGGGATTGAGGAAGCATATTGTGTGTTGTCCCATATCAGAAAATGATAGCACATGTAATAAGTTTAAAAAATTTGTGTGCATGTATTTAACTATGTATTAATATATATGCCGTTACCTAGCTTTATGTATGTATGTGTATATATATATGTATGTGTGTGTGTGTGTGTGTATGTATGTATGTATGTATGTATGTATGTATGTATCTATCTATCTATCTATCTATCTATCTATCTATCTATCTAATCTAGAGTTTGTTTTCTGAGACAGGGTAATTGTCTTGTTTGTCCTGGAACTTGCTCTGTAGACCAGTTTGATCTCAGAGATCAACCTGTCTACCTCTCATTAAAAGCTGGGATTAGAAGCATGCACCGCTACTGCCTGGCTGTGGATTTGTTTGTTTGTTTGTTTGTTTGTTTTATAATTAATTAATTTATTGGTTTTTCAAGACTGGGGTTTTCAGTTGTAGAGCCTGTCCTGGAACTCAGTCTAGACTGGGCTGCCTCCAACTCACAGAAATCCACCTGCCTCAACCTCCAGAGTGCTGGTATTAAAGTAGTGCATCACCACCACCTAGTTGAAGTGTGTGTGTGCCCATGCACATGTGCGTTTGTGTGTGATTATATATTAATACATATTTATTAAATAAAATTGCATCATATTTAACTGTAGTTAACAAATAAGCCTTAATATTTTTTTAAATTAATAATTATTTCGTTTAGGACTGGAATCTTTAAAATAAAGTTTTGCTGGTGATGTTTTCCTTTAATTCCAATAGATGGGTTTCCATGAATTGAAGGCCAGCCTGGCTTGGTGTACATAATGAGTTCCAGGACAGCTAGGACTATATACAAAAAAACCATCCCTCCCCATCTCTCCCCAAAAGAATGGTTGCTTCATTCAGATAACTGTGTGTGTGGCTTTGGCTGCGTAGGTAACCAGAAATTGGAAAATAAGACAAATTTCCATTAAAATTGTTGTTTTTGTTATTTGAAACTTCTTATTATGTCTACAGGGGCTGACCTTATTTATAAAGATCTGCTAGCCTTAGAGTGTTTGTCTTGATTCTCTTGTCTTTACATAGTCCTGTGTGGTGTCAGACTCACCGTGAATGAGAATGACCTCAAACTTCTATTCTGACTCTTCTACTTGCTGAGATTACAAACATGAAGCAGTATTCCTACTACTTTAGCAATTCTTAAATTTTCAGAATTATTAATTCATTGCTTTCTAAATAGGATCTGGGAAAACTGCTGCATTCCTACTACCCATTCTCAGTCAGATTTATACAGATGGTCCAGGAGAGGCTTTGAAGGCTATGAAGGTAACAGTATCTAAATTTTTGTTGTTTGAGTAATTTCTACTATATACGTCTGTGAACAATGTCCATGTAGTGCCCTCAGAAGGCAAAAGAAGTCATTGGATTAGAATTGGAAATATTTGTAAGAAAAAATTTAATTTGAAGTAAATTCTTAAATTATAAGTGGCACTGGGGATTTAAAAATATTGGCTCAGTGTTTCAGAGTATTGGCTTGCTCCTCATATTACTTTTATGTTACACATAAACATTCATATTCAGAAAATTTTAACAATAACAACATCAAAAAAAAAGTTTAAGATTTTGGATCATGAACTCTAAAATTACACTTAACTCTTAGGAAAATGGAAGATATGGTCGCCGCAAACAGTATCCAATCTCCTTGGTATTAGCTCCAACAAGAGAATTGGCTGTACAGATCTATGAGGAAGCCAGAAAGGTAAGCATAGCTTTTCGTGATTTAGACTTTTTCTTAATTTCAGTGTTTCTCTGACTAATAATTTTTTGCATATAGTTTTCATACCGGTCTAGAGTCCGTCCTTGTGTAGTATATGGTGGTGCTGATACTGTTCAGCAGATTCGGGACTTAGAACGTGGATGCCACTTGTTAGTTGCCACTCCAGGACGTTTGGTGGATATGATGGAAAGAGGAAAAATTGGATTAGACTTCTGCAAGTATGTTGATTTTGATAAAATAAATAAGGCTCCTATGTATGACTATAAATTCTTACATGTATATGTTCCAGTATAGTGATCATACTGATTTATTATGTAAGATTTGGCTAAAACCCTAAGTAGTTCTGTAGCCTAAGTATTATCTCAGTTCTAGGATAATAGATGTGTGTTACAATTCTATACTTGTCATAGTTTCAATGATTTTTTTGTATGCCCCTTTTCAAAATTACAAGATTGAAAAGAGAAATTGACTTTCTTTTCTCTCTTTCCTTTTCTTTCCCTTAATTTTTTTCCCTTTTGATTGAAGTTCATTTTAACAATGATTAATATTTAAAGGAACTATGTTTAAGATCTGAGATGTTATATTAATTATGAGAGCAATTTACTCAATAGTTTAATATAAAGTGGCTATCTCAACATCACTAAATTTTTCATTAATAGATACTTAGTGTTGGATGAAGCTGATAGGATGTTGGATATGGGATTTGAACCTCAGATACGTCGAATAGTTGAACAGGACACTATGCCACCAAAAGGTGTTCGTCACACTATGATGTTTAGTGCTACTTTTCCTAAGGAGATACAGGTACTGTTTGTTAGAATTTCATTTTTAAATAAATAAATTATGGTGATTTATATATTAAGTGAATTAAGTTCAGAACTTACTTTTCTTTTCATTTTCAGATGCTTGCTCGTGACTTTTTAGATGAATATATCTTTCTGGCTGTAGGCAGGGTAGGCTCTACTTCTGAGAATATCACACAAAAAGTAGTTTGGGTCGAAGAGCTTGACAAACGGTCATTTTTACTTGATCTCTTAAGTGCAACAGGTAAAATTATGATTAATACTCTATTTAATAATGAAAAGGTCTAGGTTTGTGCCCCTTGGTTTTCTGTATTTACTTTGTAGTCCCACTTTTTCCATTTGTTTTTGTGTGGGTATCTTCCTCTTTATTTTCTGGGGCATTCTGTGACTGAACCTGAAGCTTACAAATTCAGCTACATTATGCAGCTGAGGATCCTCCTGTCCTGTGTGTGTTTGCTTTGTACAATATGTGGGGTCCATACTGTCCTTTCACCAATATTCCCCAAACCATCAAGCCTGTTAAATTTTAAAATAACCATCAATATCAAATTACTCTTAATTTTACAAAAACATCCTTCTTATTTTTCAGGGAAGGATTCACTGACTTTAGTATTTGTGGAGACTAAAAAAGGTGCAGATTCCCTGGAGAATTTCTTATTTCAAGAAGGATATGCCTGTACCAGTATTCATGGAGACAGATCACAGAAAGATCGAGAGGAGGCCCTTCACCAGTTCCGCTCAGGGAGAAGGCCAATTCTAGTGGCTACAGCTGTGTGTATATTTTATTTTTTCTTTTTCGGTCTGAATGTTGCTTTATTTTAATAAATGCTATTTTTTAGGTAGCAGCACGAGGTCTAGATATTTCAAATGTGAAACATGTTATCAATTTTGATTTGCCAAGTGATATTGAAGAATATGTACATCGTATTGGACGCACAGGACGTGTAGGAAACCTTGGTAAAATGTTTTGTTTTTTCCTATTAAAGATAGGGCCTCAAGCCCTTTATCACTGAGTCCTTATTACATTTTTAACCCCCTTTAGATTTATTGGTTTGTATCCTTGTGCATGTCACAGTACATTTGAAAATATGAAGGGACACTTTATTGGAAATATAGTTCTGTTATATGGATTCTAGAGATTGAATTCACAACATTAAGTTTGGAGTGATTTCATTGATCTTTTTTCTTAAAGTACATATAGTAACAAAAGTCTTAAAATAAGGGTGGGTTTGTATTGTTTGTGTTTTTGAGACATGATTTTCCTCTTTCCCTCAGCTTTAAACTATAGCAGTCTTTGTAGTGCAGGGTCTGATAGTGCTTGAAAAACAGAGAGGCAAGAGATTCTTGGTTAAAGAAGAAACTTGAAGCTGGCTGTAACGGCACACAATTTTAATTCCAACAGTCATGATTCAAAAGGCAGGTGGATCTCTGTGCATTTGAGGCCACCCTAGTCTACATAATGACTACCAATCAGGACTATGAAAAAAAGACTCCATCTTAAAAACAATACAGAGAGAGAAAGAAACTGGATATTAACCAACAAACTTTTTTCACCCTTTTAGTTATGTTGCAAAATACCATTTTTCTTAACTGTGAAAAAGAGAATAGTGAACATTATGAAACCTAGGCCCTTATGTTCCTTTTTTTTTTTTTTTTTTCAACTTTTTAGGACTTGCCACGTCTTTTTTCAATGAGAGGAATTTCAACATCACAAAAGATTTGTTAGACCTCCTTGTTGAGGCTAAACAAGAAGTGCCATCTTGGTTGGAAAGTATGGCTTATGAACACCACTACAAGGGTAGCAGTCGAGGACGTTCTAAAAGGTAAGCATTGTTTGTATTTCTTTTATTACTATTTGTTTAGAGCTAAGTTAAGTTAGCAAATTTTAAAATGGTTAGAGGTTTTTAATATGTATGAATGAATATAGGTATGATGCTGTGTCTCTCATGGACTCAGAGAACAACTTTTATGGATTCCAGGAATCAAACTCCAGTTTATAGGCTGTTCTCACCAAACTCTATAAAGTTTTTAACTAAATAAGGAATAATTAGCAAAGGTTACAGAGCAGCTGGGCAGAGGTGGGCCACACCTTTAATCCCAGCACTAGAGAGGTGGCTCTCTGTGAGTTTGAGGCCAGCCTGGTCTACAAGAGCTAGTTCCAGGACAGGCTCAAATCAGGGAGAAATCCTGTCTCAAATAAACCAACAAGAAAGAAAAAGGAAAAAAAAAAAAAAAAAAAAAAAAAAAAGAAAAGAAAAGAAAAGAAAAAAGAACAAAAGAAAAGGTTAAGTGATAAGTATTTTGTAGAAATAGTTAAAACAGGACAACAATGGAAAGTAAGCTTATCAAATAAAATGGGAAGTTTGAGTATGGATTGACATTTTAATTGGATATCATACATACTGTTTTTCCTTATAATAGTAGATTCAGTGGAGGATTTGGTGCCAGAGACTATCGACAGTACAGTGGCTCTGCAAATTCTGGGTTTAATAACAATCGTGCCAGTAATAGCCGAAACAGTGGAAATAGCCACAACAGAGGATTTGGTGGAGGTAATGTTAATTTTTTTCTTTTATAAGAGTTTGTTTGTTTGTTTCTTGCCCTTAACTGGTCTTTTCAAAATAATTTTGAGACCCCACACAAAATATGGAATAATTGTAATAACAGATGAATTAATTTTTCTTTCCTTAATAGGTGGCTATGGAAATTTCTACAATAATGATGGATATGGAGGAAATTATAACTCCCAGACTGTTGACTGGTGGGGCAATTGAATTTGTGCCTATCATCTTTTCATGTAGTTAATTTGGAAACCACATGTATCGTAGCCAGACTGTATTGTGTAGCTTCAAGAACTTGCAGTACATTACCAGCTGTGATTCTTCTAAAAATTCACTGGGGGCTCAGAGTCATAAGACATGAAAGCAGCAATCTGTAGCCCTGTTCAAAAGGTGATGTGAAGACTTATTGTAGCTTGGATTTACTCCTTTCCTCTTGGTTTGTCCCTAAACAGCTCTTAAAATTTGTGACTGAGGAAAACTTATTAATGTTCAGTGACTTTTAACTTTAAGCAACTTATTTGTTGTCCTATTTGCTCAGTGACCTTCAGGATACCATTATTTTGACAAAATAAATTCATTGAAGTTGGGCTACAACCAAACCTTGGCACACAAGTTTGAGACAACATAAACAAGCATTAATCAGTTTATTGCTAAATGTGATGGAGACATTAAGCAATAGACATTAAGCAATAGCCTGAATAAGAAAATTTGATGTATGCAGACTTGGTGGTAGAAATGTTTTACTTATTTATTTTTTTTCAGGTTTGTAATATGGCAGACAGTACAAAGCTAGAGTTCTGAATTGCTCACTCTATCCTTGATTGGCAATTATAACCTTAAACTCTTTTTAAAATGGAATATATGAATATAAACTTAATGTTTTTGAAAGCACTCAATACAGATAACTACAGTGATTCCTTTTAATGTTTTAAGTAATTTATGATGGCATACTCCTATAGAAAAAGTTTAAACATGTAATGAAGAATTTGATATATAAGTTTGTATTTATGCCTGACATAAGAATGGCTGACCATGGCAGGACCAGTCCTCATTACAGCTTTAATGTATGCTAGTGTTGATGTTTTTTGGTCAAGAGAGTATGAACAGAAAGAATTATGAAGCAACAGGCTTTATTTTCACATTTCACATTTTTCTGTTACAGCTATGTTGAAATGTAAAAATGACTTACATTTGTAGACTTTGTAAATTTAAGAATGACAAATTAAAATCCTTGAATCTCACAGGTTGGATATATGTACTGATTATACCTGGTGGTCAGTACAACAGTAGTTTTTGTGTATTTTTGTTGCATAGGTTTCCATTGTATTATGCTTACTTTTTTTGGCCAAAGATTACTTTCCATCACAAAAAAAAAAACGCCTCTTTGAGATTTTTTTTTTTTTTTTTTTTAATGGATAGGATACAGTAAATTTAAAAAACAAATCATTAAGAGTGTCATAAGTTGACAACTTTTTCTAAAAGTGCAATAGATTTTAAAGTGTATCGTGCCTTGTATTAAAACTTTACTACAGTAGGTGCACTTGACAGTTATTACTAAGGTTATTTGTTACGGTGCTATTTCAATTATTAGTGGTATAGACTGTACACTTTGCCCATAACTTTTTACAAAGTATGTATTTTATTGCATATGGAGAGAATTTTATATGTTTATCTTATGTCCTTAAAGTTCTGATTGAAGATTACTGATTACACTGTGTGGAGAACTTGGTTCAGAAACTTGGGACCAAGTAATGATGGTTAAGAAAAACTATTTGCACATTAACAGACTTTTTGCTGCTAGTTTGTGTAATATTTATTGAATTTTTTTGACAAATATTTATTTTTATAAGCCTAGAAATGATTCTTTGAAAGCTTAAACTTGACCAAAAGACAATATAAAAACACTGGCATTTGATTGTCACTGTATATGAAATAGTATATTTTGGGGTAGTGTGAGCTCTTAATGTTAAGCTCTACTATACTTGAGTCAAATTAACCTAACCCAGTACTGGTGATGTAGCTACAGTTTTATGACAAAGTGAGGCAATTTGGAATAATGAAAATTTGACTTGCCAAGGTTTTGATATATTTAAGATATTAATGAATATTAAAAATTTTCGCAAATATTGTCTTAATTTACCTTATTTACATGGTCTATTTGGTTTGGTATTTTAACTGTCTGGCATATTTGTAATCTTCAAACATGTGGTTATATCTTTGTGTTGCCATAAGCAGTGACTTTTTACATTCAATTTTTTTTTAAGCCAGCAATATTTTCAGTAAATATTAGATTTGATTTAATGTAAACGTGGAACTTTAAGTCCACTTTAAGTCACTGTAAGGTTGGTAATGGCTTGATCTAACTAGTATTAGATGCTATACACTGCATATGCCTACTTTACTCTCATTTACTAAAATAAAAAGTATATTGAAATGACTTGTGAATTGTTTTTGTGAACTTGCATGCTTGAAGTATTGGAAATCTACTTTTTTAGTTAATAAAACGGTATTTGTAAAGTACATCATGAAGTATGCCTGTGCCTTAACATTTGAATAAGAGTTGGGAGTAGTATACAGTTAGTAGTAAAGAAACAAGATTTGCATTCACATATGGTTTACATACACAATAAATATGATTATATAGCACTTTGAAACAGTATGACTACAGAAAGAAAGTTTATCCAATTCTTTATTTTTTTTACTTGTCTAGTTGTTTAATTTTGTAAACATGTTTTTAATGATCACATCCAACATTTCTTCATTATGTTTTTGTTCTGAGACAGGGTTTTGTTATGAAACAGATGGTAGGTCTGGCTGACCTAAAACTTGCTTATGTAGATCTGTCTACTTCGAACTCAAAAAAAAAAAAAAAAATCTAACTTCCTTTGCCTACCCAGTACTGAAATTTAAGGTGTGTGCCAATATGGCCAGCATATGCAACATTTCTTAGTTGGCATACACCCTCTGTCTTGTTTTCTGCTTCTAGGTTTTGCTTATTGGGGAAGGTGGTAGTGCTCTTCTATGACTTGTGCCCTAGTGATCAACCTGAATTTACTATGCTTTCCAGCAGGTATCTTTACCCACTGAACAATCACATTAGCCTATATTTTGGTGTTTTGATATAGCCTTGTATGGTACATGTTCAGAACTGTTCAGGCTGCTTTTTGTGGCTATCATTGTTCTGCTTCCTCCTAAACCTTATTACAAGAATGCTTTTTCCTACTTAGGTTGTTTGGTCTTTGAAATTTGGGTTGTCTGGCTAATTTTTTGTTGTTTTTTTTGAGACAGGACTCTGACTGTTCTGGCACTCACTATATATATTCGGCTGGCTCTGAACTGAGATACACCTACCTCTGCTTCCCAAGTACTGATAGTAAAGGAAGCTGTTATGATGCCCAGCAGTGTCTTTGAATCTTGCTAATATTTTTATTTTGTATTTACAATGTACAGCATTTCTTCCCTCCTACATCTTTCACATCTGCCGTCCCAAATTAATTGCTATTGTGTGAGTGAAATAAAGGAAAGAAACTCCCAACTTGACTACTTCATAATTATTGTTTTTTTTATAATTACTGTAAAAGATAAAATATTGAGACATCTAGCTGAACATTAGTGGTGTACACCTTTAATCCCAGCACTCGGGAAGCTGAGGCAGGCAAATCTCTGTGAGTTTGAGGCCAGCCTCGTCTTCAGAGCTAGTTCTACTACAGGTTCCAAAGCTATACAGGGAAACCCTGTCTCCAAAAACAAAAAGAACAAAAACCAAACAAACAAAAATATGGAGGCATCTGGAAGAGTCCACAGCAGAGAAAGAGATTGAACATGGCCAAGGTAAGGCCATGAATAGTGGAGGTAGCAAGATATATATATATCGAGAGAAGAAGAATAGCCTGGGAGAATAGCAAGAGATAGCTAGGTTATAAGGAAGAAGAGTGCCTTAGGGAAGAGAAGGACCTGGAGAGTAGTTTGGGTTTTGAAATATGTGTATAACAAATACTGTTCATGAGGTCTGATGGAGCCTGGAGACAGGCTTGTGCTTTGATATACAGCCATAGGCATATGTCAGTGGAGAACCATGTCTCTTCTGGTAGAAGTAATTTGGCAAAGGGAACCAGTTTCTCAACTCTCTGAAGAATGTTGGTTTTTATCTAACCTCCAGAAAACCTGTACCCAGCTGAACTCATTTCTCTCAATTTGGACTATCAGAGACACAATAACTGCCTTGTGTTCTTTAATCATTGTTAAGTAACATAAAGTAGTCAACATAAAAGTACAGGTAGCTGAGTCTGTAAATGTTAACTGCATTTTTGTTTCTAGTGCTGATTTGATAACCAATATTGGATTAATCCTGGGAAGATAAATCTTGGTAGTTTTGTGTCTACGGGCTCTAATGAGATTTTCTCTGTCACTGAGGTATCATTATTATTTAGATCTTTATTACCCATGTTGAGATTTCATACCATGCATATTGGCAAAAATCTTATTCTTCCTACTATTTCTTTATGTTGTTTCTTGAGTTTTAGGTGAAGTAGTTATGTTGTCAATGTATCTGGATGGGGCTAGACTCTACACAGGTCATTATTTGCCTTTTGACTATTTGTAGCTTTCTGAAATGATCCCTGTTGGGAAAAGAAGCTCTGATAAAGGTGAGTAGAGAAAATGTTTAGAAAGTAATTGTGCCTGCTGTAAGTTTTCCTCTTTGACCTTTTTCAATAGGTAGCTTGATAAATTTATAGTATTTGATTTCCTTCCTGGTAAGGAAGCTTTGAGTTCAATTATATGGCAGCGGGTTACTGAGATAATATAAGTGCCACTAGTTCACCTTATGGGATATTTTGCCATGCTGGTTTATTGTTGTGATTGATATGATAGCTGGTAAGGTCTGTTACTTATGGCAGTCTCTGTGACCATCATGATCATCAGAGTGACTGATGAGGATGCTACCAGCTTTGGCAGCATTCAGGTTCCAAGGAGAAGTTGTGCAGTTGGCAGGAAAAGAAAATGAGGAATGCATATCTGAGGATTCAGCAGCTCTTTCAACCAGACTACCTAAGTCAATTGACAAGTGTCAGCCCCATATCTGTTTTTTACTTCCCCATTCAATTTCCAGGGTGAAAAAGTAAAGTACAAAACAATCTTATCTGAAGGTATTTTAGGACACCAGCTGTCAAATCAGGAAGTTAAAAGTTTACAGCCCATGTGTAGGCTGGCTGTGAGCAGCTGCACTGTATTAAGCAGTCTGAAATTACTTTTAACTTAACCAAGTTAGGTGTAGAATAATTTGATGTTTTCTAAAATGCAAAGTTTACACATATCTAATAAACATTTAACTAGTTGCTAGCTTTTTTTTTGTAGTTTATATAATAAAGACCTACTCTTTTCATACTCTACCAGAAAGGAAGATACTGGTACCAAATTCTCTTTTCACTAATCCTCCCAACTCACATCCCTTGTATATAGATTGCAGTGCAGGGAAATGTTGCTTTCAAATCAGGAAGAGTAACAACTGAGTTTTTCCCTCTTGGAGTAATCTGTACCCTGCCATCGATATACTGTGGGTAAGTGTTGGGAAATTTAAGTGCTTGTCCCTTACAGCTCTCTTCCTCCCCATCCAGCTGTAGAACTCCGGTGCAAACAAGGTTGACAAGGTTGTTTTCAGAATTTTCCAGTGTGCATGCAGTGCCTGTACCTTGACCCCAGGTGTGGGTGGTGCATGACTTCCTCCTATGCTTAGCCCATCCCCTGGGTTGGGTATATAAGCCCATTAC